AAAATGCTAGGAAATTAGTGTAGGTACAAAATCTATAAACTGCCAAACCAATTGCCCCAGCCCTCCTTAACACAATGTAAAATAAATGTAAGATGCCATCAAGATGCCCAGAAGCATAAATAAAATGCTTCTAAGAGACGAACTGTCAGATGATTTCAAAAGTATTGCAGTACTTAACATGGAGACATCTGGATTCCAGGTCTGGAACCATGCTTTTGCTTTAGGTACCTAAGTTCCCTAAACAGTGAAATGGGAAAATAATATGTTTTACAGAGGGAGTCACAACGGTCTAGATTTCTTGGGAAAGAACTGTCCAAACCATGCTGAAGAGTGAGTCAGGGTTTAAACCTTGCTCTTCAAAGCTCTGATTGCTTTCATCTGCACTACAGGACTGTCCCTCCTTCCCTGGGATTAATTTCCCTGAGGTGTCCCCTGAGGACAAGTTGCTTCCAAAAGCTGAGCAGTGCTTACATCTTTTTTTTCTTTTGTCTTTGACAGGCAGTGGGACAAAGTTGTGCTATTGTCACCCTCCCCTGCATTTTTTCTTGAAATGATTCAAATGTATTTCATCACTGCCTTCTTTTCCCCAGCAGCAGCCTCCCAGCTCAGTTGTAGATAACACTGGGGAAGAATGCGTGCTGCCCACCTGTCACTGGATTTGATTTTTCATGCAATGATTGAGTAGGTGCACTCAGAGGGGCTGAAGGGGAGAATAACTCTCTAGTTGGGTGGTTAGAGGCCAGATGAGATGGATCCTGGGTTATAGCCCCTGTCCCAATGAGTCTGCCGTGTAGAATACTAATACAGGATAGGAATTCAATTATTACTGCTCTTACCGTTGGATCAATGAATAGTAAATTATTTCATATGAGCTGGAATGATTTCAATACAAAAGAAGTTTTACTACTTTCAGGACACTGTAGAATATTCTGTAGGTAGGGACTAGAACAGTCTTTAGAAATAAGTCTTAGTTCTTGAAGTTTATCTTCAAGTTTATCATGGCTAGGAAATACACCGTCTTTCATAAACTATGTGCCTGCTGTAAAAGTTGATCTCAAATGCATATTGCCTAGACTCAGCTTTAATATCTGCTGCCCAGAAGCTGAACCTTAGATGCTAGGTGAAATTTCATGTCATATAAAAAAAAAATCAAGAAAATCCAAACCCAAATAAAGGAGGGTCCTAAAGACTGCACACTCATCCAGACATATCTAAAAAAAGGATTTCTAAGACCACAATTTTGATTTAAGATATTTATTCACAACAGATATTTACATAAATAACTGCAGGCATATATACATAGATAAACCAATATTTTTTTAATTAAAAGTGACATTGTTGATTATTATGAAACAAGGGACATTTATGGTCATATAAAGCATTACAGGTTAGGTAGGGGGTTTTGGAGAGGGGATTGTTTCATTTTCCAAGCAAGTGAGTCAATTAAGTTTGAAGTTGAGACCTTTAACTTATCCAAATGCTTTAACTACCAGATCAACATGTAGTTTCTGAGGTGTACCTTATCTCTGATACTGAGAATCACTCATATGTAAAAGGAGATCCTTAACAGACTTGCACAGTTATGGTAGGAGATCTTACACTTCACTTTTTCTCTGCCGCAGCTCGACAGTTCATTCCTACTGCAAGACCATTTTTCTCTAAGCCACTATCACTGTTTGCTCACAAGTTATCTACTCTGCTATCAGAACAACCCGTGCAGCACATAACATCCTTGGATGTTAAAATGTAACTTTTCCCCATGTTTAAATACCACTGAGCTAAAACTCTTCAGTTTGAAGAACCACATCCTGAAAGATGGTAGAGTTTTGGACTCTGAGTCCAAAAATGCCAGAATTTAAGTACTCTACATTTAGAGGAGAAAACTACTAGAAATGGGATTTGGGCTCTGTATAATTTCAGTTTATTTTGAAGGGTTACTTTAAGAATCATAAATTACGCCTCATTTGCGTAGTAGATCATAAAAACACTCCATCATAATCTTTGCCTTTATGGTCAATATACTAATACTTTGTCATTTTATTTACAGGTTATCGTCATGTTCCCCTGTTGTCCAAAGACGGTGATAATCTCGAACCCGCATCACTGTTTGTTCATGTCTGGTACTATTAATGACGCTCTGCAGTTGAAGTTGTTCTGTAAGATCACACCCTGCTCAATAAAGCAACATCACTAGGCTTGCAACAACCCAGTGGTCTGATTTCCAGAGTGGCACATTCTCAATGATTTTATTAAGCTAATGGGACTTCCTGTGTGAGTAAATGGTATCCTGAGTAAGTAATGGGTACTGACGTTGGCCCGACAATTATTGAGAACTAATTCATAATGAATGAACTTTTTTTGACATTTAAAAAAATTCAGTTAATAACTCCATTTGCAGCTATTTTAAAAATGATGATGAATAGCCTAATATGTATGACCTGAGACTGCAAAATGATGAACATGTTACATTAGCATTTTTATTTGTATTGAACAAAATTTCTTACTATTGTATCTTTTGAAGGGAACAAGAAAAAATACTCACACAATACACTATTTACATTTATACTAACAGCAGCTTCTGATGGGATAATACCTCTTTAACGTTCACTGTGATCTTCTAGATGGAAAAATAGTTTTGAGAAAAACTACAGCTCTTAAAATGATAAAAACTCAGATGCTAATATCAGTACCTTTTCTTAGCTTAGACTTGAACCTCCTGCTGCTAGAGAAAGACAAATAAGTCCCAGACTAATTTGTAAAGAGCTATGTTCCTCATAGCAGCAGGGAGCTCAGGATATATCTTACTACGAACTCAGGAAATAGAAATCACAGTGCTTTGAGATGGACTAGAAGACTTTTAGAAAAAGCAAGGGTTGATTGTGTGATGTAAGATCTCTGAAGACAATTTCTTGCCTGACATAGCTTTCAGTGTAGATCTTCACCATAAGAAACAATTTTCCCAACCTGAAGTATTGTTGAGCTTCCACAGATGGTATCTACCCAGTTAATTGCAGATTTGTTACTCAAACATGGCTGGTGTTATATTGATACCAAACAGTATTGCTTATGTTTGCAGACAGTTCTGGTAATATTATATTTGAATGTTCTTTTATTTAATGCCATTTTAATGCTATTTTATTTAATGTTGCTTTAAGATGGAAAATCAGGGCATGTGGTAAACAATGATTAGAAAATGTCACAGGAAATATAACGCCATTAGAAAATTGCATTATACTTATAATAAGGAAACCCAGACAGTAGATAAGATTAATCTAAAATCAATATTGAACTGTAAGGTCAGGTAATTTGATAACATTATAAGCTGGCCTCAATGTGTTTTCCATGCTCGAGTGACAAGTCACTTGATTCTTCACCCAGGAGAGCCTATAATCTGAAATGTTAGATTTACTGATCTTTGTACTGATGATATCTGTCTGCTGGCCAATATTCCTTTCATGTGGCAAATACTCTATGATTTTTCAGCTCTGAAGAATACCAGTAAGATTAATATTCAAGCAGAGTTCCTCCCATCTTACTGTATTGAGGAAGAGTTTAATTTCCCCAGGCAATCTGGTGTATCTGTTCTCAGATAAAAACACTGACCAAGTGACATTGTCAATTGGTTCGATGCTGAGAATAACTCCAGCTTATTTAGTTTCCTAAATAACACTCAGTCCCACTTCAGGAGCTTTATCCAACATTACTTTCTGAAGACTGATTTGTGAATGTCCTTTGGGAGGAGAAGGCAATTATCTTCAGCTTCTGGCATTATTATCCCTCTGTTGACCACTTTTCCACCTGCTAGGATGAATGCCAGACCTACTCAGTATATGGTAACTTAAAATTTCAGAGCAGATCACGTTACAAATCAACATGTCTCCCATACCTTCAAATATGCCCTTGGTTCAGGAAAGGTAAATATATAAATATATATACATGGTCAGTTATGTGTGTGTAAGAGGCTGGCAATAATGGGCAGTTTAGTATGGCTGCTCACATGCTAAATGTTTAAAGATGTGCTTAAGTGCTTCCGCAATTTAGATAAAAATGCTTTGAAGAACAGAGCCCGTAATTAGACTCCGTGAACTTGAAGAAACCACTCACATTCATTGTTTAATATGTATATATACATTTTATAGCCCTGAAAGCAGTGCATGTATTGACTCGAGTCCCTTATGCAGCACAAGAATGCAATGCAGTAGTAAGACTGGTGAACAAAGGTTGCTTATAGCATGTTCTTAAATAAATACCACACTGGAAGCTCACATTCCATATGTTTTACTTATTTGTGAACATTAGCTTCTCCCTTCTTCTCACAAATGACCAGTTATATCTGCTTCTTGGATGTCATACTAAAAGAAACAATGACATAGCTTATTGAGAAATTAATATCCTAGATTTAATATTACATTATATCAAAATTTAAAAGCAGACCACCATATACTGTACAACATGTGTAAACTGCAAAGCTTTTAATTAATTAATTAATTAATTTTTAAAGTGTTGACTGTGTAAGATTTAAGATGAAATTTGCTAGACTTCTGAAATGTATTGGCACCCAGGGAACCATCCCATGGTTCTCTGGTGAAATCATCAGTGGGATCATAGCAGATGGTGATAATTACAGCATTATCAGTGTTGTTACAACACAGTCGGTGGAATTAATAGGCAAAGAACTAAGCCTCACACACCAATGTGTAAAAAATGTTGTATTTTTACAGTACTATTTAAGACAAAACAGAAACCTCTATTGCTGTCAGAAGAATTCCCTGCATGCTGCTACAAGTCCCTTAGTATGTAATTTCTGAATCTCGCACTGACAGAAATCTGTTGCAAGAAGCTGGTGCTGTTTTAAGACAACAACTGTATGATTAGAAATGTTAAGGTATGTGATCAACAGCTGACTGCATAGTCTCAAGAGAAACTGAGAAAAAATGTAGTGAGGGAAATGGAATAAAGAAACATTAGTAGATAAATAATTGAATTATCTTAGACAAATTTTAAATTATGCTGTTTCCCAGTGGATACCACTTTTCTTCATTTAACTGGACACTGCTTAGTTGAATGTTCACAGCTCCCACAAATGTTCCTCTGCTTTTTACAACAAGCTTCAGTACATGGCCTTTTAGCTCTGTGACTTTGTCATACACAACCTTAAATAATATATAGTGAAACAGAGAAAAAAAACCACATTAGAATTTTGTGAATTTATTTGATAGACAAAACACTTACTTCAACAAAGCATTTATCAGGATGTCAGAACTTTGTAACAATTGCTTTAAACTGCCCTCCAGAATTATAGGCTACTAACCCTGAGCCAAACTCACTTAGTGAATTTACCTCAGAAATACATTTGACCTTATGTTGTTTATAGCAATGAGATTCTGCCAGGTTAGGTTTATGAAATCTGATTACCAAGCATTTGTAAATAAATTTGAGACTGGTGTAGCACAATGCTTGAGAGTAAAACAGGTGTGCAGAATTTTCCCTGTGAAAACTGAAACTCTTAACTTAAGCAGAGTTTTGAACTAAAATGTGAAGGAATCTCAGATCCATCATGAAGTTCACTGGGGAATCATAATACAGTTGAATTTCTGGAGGAGAAATTCAGATGGCATGTACTCATCATGGACAACAGCATGAAAATGTAAGACAACTAATTCTGTAAAAGTGCAGACTATTATAATTTTAAAATAAGTTTCCATACCAGATGTCTTTGCTATAAACAACATAAGGTTTCCCAAAACTCCACATCATAAAGGAGATAATTTTCCTTTGAAAACTGTCTGTATAAATTTTATTATTTTAATACAAATAACCTTATGCATGGCTCTGGTTGCTAACTGTATCCAAATGCACCCACTATAAAAATGCTTTGCATTTTTAAATGAAATCATCAAATATTTAATATGACAGAAAGCTCAGCCCACTCAGTAGAAGCTGTAGATGTGGAACATCTCTCAGATTGGACCCAATTTAGCAAATGGAACTTACTAAATTTGGATGTTTCTGTTACTCCATAAGTGCTGTTAATCCTTCTCAATTTAAATGAGACTGCTTGCTTAGCATCTCTTTAGAAAACCACTGAGACCTATATAGCTTTTAAAATATCCTTGAAATTACCTTAATACTATGAAAACATCCTAATTATGAAGTGTTAATGGTGTACTTACTGAATTTAAGAAAATAACAATCTGGAGTGATAGGCTAACAAGACTGAACTTGCATTCAGAACAGATTCCTATGTTTCAGTCTCTGCATTAATCAAAAACTGCTGAGTGAACTGCATGTGGGTTGATAAAAGGTGGAAGAATGCTCCCAGCTAGTTTCAGACCTGAAAGGTAAGCTTTGTTAAGACAAGCACATTTAGTCTAAAGTATCTACAGCTGGAAACCTTTTTTGCTATTTTAGTTGCAATGGAAAGTGCTTTTAAATTTTCATATCTCTCTGCAGCTTAAAAAGCAAACTCGATGAAATGCTGTCACTCCAGGAGAAGGGGAGATTGAAGCTGCCTAAAAGGCGTTTGCCATGCAGCCTACTTGGATTTACTGTGAATCTGAATGCAGTCTATACATATGGCAGTGTAGAGCAAGTGTTAGACTGAGCCCCCTCTAGCTTGGATCTCTGTGGGCTGGGCTGCTGAGTCTTCTCTGTACCTCCAGTTATAAGAAGCAGAAATGGCCATGGGAGCTGTCCTTCAGAGAGCGAGAGAGTTCATAAAGGCTCAGCTCCAGCAATGTTCCACATGCTGAGTGGCAACAGAAAGGTGGTTTAGAATTTCATGGTTGGACCCAGTGGGCACAAAATTGTTGTTTCTGCCAGACAACGTCAGTTGGCTCTAGCTGCCCCTGTGGGGCCCCAGAGTGATTTGCCTGCACTGCAAGGTGCAGAGGTGTCACAGGGAGCACCAAACAGAGGTTACTCTGACAGCAAGCACCAACAAGACAGGACACTAAGCTTTCTGGTGTAGGGGGGTGATTCATGCTGCAAGGATGAGCATCCACTGTCACAGGCTGTGGGGGAAAGGAAAACTCTCTCCCTCACTGTTTTTAACTGGCTTTTACTGGAAAGATCTTACCAGGCAGCAACATTTCCTTTTCCATTTTTAAACCTTAGTTTGGAACAGCTGTCATGGAAGTCGGTGCTTTTCAGTTTTGATATTTACTGTGCCTATTTCACCAACTTGTATGTGAATAAAAAAAATTCATAATGATAAAATTTAGAATAAATCAAGGATTTTATTACTGAAGTGATACTAATGATATAATAGAAAAATACCTTGTTTCTTTGACAATATATTAAAGATATAATCTTCAGCTGTTGCCTTAAATCACTAAAAAGAGCCAATGTAAGGTGTAAGGGCTAAGAACTCTGCAGTACAGTGGAACAAAACTTGCATGAACTGGGTTAGTGAGCAACTTTCAATCACTGGACAAAAAGAAGCTTTAAGCTTTGAGCAACGACAGACCTTACAGTGCAGGGTGGGTGGTTTTCAAATGATCCCAATAACCTGTTTCTAAAATGGTATTGCAAAGTCAGCTGAAGCAAGGTATATATCATCAGGATGTAGGAACAGAAGAAAAGGTCTGGAGTTGAATGAGTATGTGGATAAAATAAATGCCACCTGCCATAATTTCATAATCGGAACAGTTAAATCCTGAAATATGATTATCTAGGAAGAATACTTGCCTCCAATTTATACAGCTAGATCAAATGGAGGTGAGCAATACATGGCCATGCAGCAAATCAGTGCGACAGTTAGGGGTGGAATTAAAGTATTCCTGGCTCCAAAAAGAGAAGCACTGTTGACCTACAGGAGTCTAATGACATCTTCATTGGAAATGCGAGACAGTTGCTTCTCCTCAGGTAGCCATGGCACAGTTCCTGGGTTTGCTCTTAATTGTCCAAGTTATCTTTGACACACGTTGCTGGAGGGAGTGGCTGTGGCTCCTGGTGCAGCTCCACTCCTGCCCCTGCATCAGGCTTGCAGCGGCTATTCTGGTCATTGCAAACCACTGTCCCCTCTGCTCCAAGGGCAACTGCAGTGAAACTAACAGACTGATATGGCCCAGGTATATTTGCTGACATTTGGCTACACCCCAAGGGCAGGATGGAGAGAATGCCTCTTGCTCTGGCTTCATTATAGCAATGCACACTTTGCTCTGCCTTGGAGTTGATCATTTCATGAGTGTACGAACATGCAATCACTCAAGAAACAAACTGAGGACTCGATCTGGTCATTGTAATTTTTCTTGTCAAGAATTTAAATGTAAATAATTGAGGTTTGTTTGTTTGTTTTTTTTCACTAAACTACTGTGGAACCTCCTGAGTAACTCTTACTTATCTCTAGGAACAGTCTCTAAGCAGGTATGCCCTTCTTTTTCTCTTCACACCACATTCCATTTTTCTGTGTCCTTTTCTCAACCATCACTCTTTAATGCCATGTTATACTGGTGTGAACACAATAAACTCCAAAATCCAAATAAAAGAACAAAAGAAAAAAAGGAGTGCTTCTTAAAAGAAACTCTAAAACCTTTGGCATAGTTCATTCTATTGTCAGCTCTCCTAGATTTTCACATCTTTGCTCTCACACACAAGGATAAAAAATAAAATGCACTTTTGCAAGGCTGATAATTTGCTGCAGGCAGTCATAAGCAATAAAAGTACAACACTAAAACCAAAAATACCCAAGAGAAGCACATTTCAGGATTTTCTCAGTCTCGAACACAGAGGGAAATTAATATACAGCTTCCTTCCAGCCATTTGGCTTTAATAAAAACTTATGAACTCATAAAAAAAAGTAGTACATTTTTGTACACACCATTTTGGTCAGTAACTAACTTAAAAGACAGCTGACTTACATTTTTAGTAGTTTTGCTTCCCTGGGGCAGCTTCTGCCTCAGTCTACCAGCCTTGGACAGAAAATGCACACAGAATGATATCACATATGGAGGAACAGAGCTGCTAACAGCACAAGCATCGGGTTTGAAATGTCCAAGTTCAATGGAACCATATGTCCCCACTGCGATCAGCAGTTCCTGGTGAAAAAGACTGAGCAGCTGTGAAGAAGGCTGCAAGCTTTGAGTAAAGGATATTAAAGTTTTCATGGAATTTCTCCTAACAGCAGTGGGATGCTCCTTAACCACAATTAAATCTCCTCCCAGTGACTACTGCCTGACTGCAGGCAGGATTTTTTATTTTCTTGCATTCAACTTGATCTAATAATGATTAAAAAGATAACTGGCATCTAACTTTGCTGACTGGTTCTTGTCTGTAGTCCATTTTGGGTATTTTACAATTAATGTAATGATATAATCACATTATATACATTCCTTTAAATATTCCTCAAATGTTAAATAATTTCTTAAGACAGGAAAATTAGACTCATTCCACTCTCTCTTTGATTGCAAAAAAATGAAAGAACATGACCAAAAAAATAAAGCCTGTTATTCCACTGCAGTTCCATAGGGAGGGAAATCTGCTTCAGCTGTTAGCAGCAGCACTACTCAAGTAGCCTACAGTAGCAGTCATCACTGAACGTAGGTAACTTTTGTAATGAAATAGAGGTGGGAAAAGAAAAACATTAAAACTCCAGGACTGGGAAACTAGGAGATAAGGACTCTTAGTATCACCTGACTAACTTTAGCTTCATCATATTTTATCTATGAAACAGGGTGGAGTGGAAATATTTTCCATGCCCTCTACTTTAAAGCCTGCTCAGAAGTGCATCTGTAAACTGCTTTGAGATCTTTAGGAGGCTTGTTATATGTAATAATGATAATCTGCAATTCCACCTACTGTTTGAATCTCATCTGCTCATACAAAAGAATATAGCTTAGGCCACTTTCCATGCTGTTGTTTATTTTCACCTAAGAGGCACAAGCACTTCAGTGGTGTGTGAAATAATTAAATATGGCTGTGAACTAAATATGGCTGTGAATTGCTAGCATTCTGACATAAATGGGCTATTTATTATTGTGACTTCAGTTTGGCTGTCTGTTTTCAACTCTGAATTTGAGTAACAGCATGCATTTTATCAGTAATTTTTATGTTATTGTACAAATTTGGATTCAAAACAGTCTAGGTTTTGGTGCAATGACGCTTGATCTCATTTGGCTAACATGTAACTGTGGGTAGGGTGTAAGGCAGAGCAGCATGAAGAATTCAACTGCTTTCCTGAAGAGAGAGACATAAGGAGACTGTTTCACTTCTGATAAAGATGCAAAGCAGAAGACTGCCCCCATTTTGTGGTTAGTTTATGATAAGTTCCTTCATTTTGATTGTACTCATTGGACAACTCTAAACGCTGTATTGTTATTTCATTTCAAGAGTAGGCAAACAAAATCAAAGAAGGAAGAAGTGGTGGAAGAAAGTGAATGGTACTTACAATTTCATTGTAAGTAGGGTCAGTGCTTTTTGGAGCTGTTCTTGTCTTTCTTCGACTGACCTCATCAGGATCAGGCAGAAGATAAAATTCAGCATGTGCACTTGGGGCAGAGCCATCTGGGAGGCGCTGGAAAACAAAGCAGTCATAAATATGAGTGCTCATGTTCCAGCAATGAAAACAAATAAAAAGTACGAAATTCAATCTAGACTTTAAGCAGACAGAAAAACATCATACATTCTCAGTATTCTCTTGGCTAAATTGGAATGCTAGTGCAGTAAACAAGAGCAATTCTTAGAATTCAGCTTAATATTGAATCAGGAGAATAGAAATGAAATAATATGAGAACAAGGTAAAATTGCCTATCTTTAATATTTAATGTTCTGATGGAAAAAACTCTTAAGCCTCAATCTACTTTAACTCAGCTTAATCTGATACAAAGTCTAGCCCTTCTGTTTTCCAGAGCAATGCATAGAAACTGAATTCCAGCCAGCAAGCTCTTATTGATTTTAACCCCTAAGTAGTAATGCTGATGACAGGGAGAACTGTTTGTTACTAAGGTGTTTCATAAAGCATATTACCATAGAGGAGCCAGGAGCATTTCCTGTACCAATATGGGCAGAACTGGCTTCTTCTAATAACAGTCTTTCTGATCACTCTCATCACACAGCTGCAAACTCTCTTTAATTTTCCAGTTCAGATTACTGAACAGTATTCCAGATATTCCATTTTATGCTTGCTACTCAAGATCAAAGCCAATCTATTAACCAGGCTCAGTCATAAACTAATGCTGGTGGGTGGACAGTTTTTTGATTACTTGTGAACAGCTGTAAGGTTCTTCCTAAAGCAACACTGCAGGTACTCAGAAAACACATTGGTACTAGGAGAGGTTTTAAAAGAACACACAAGAAACATAATCACTAAAAGCTATGGGAGGGGTATCTTACCAGCATATGTCACTTAGTGCTTACCTTATAATTAAGCAAAAACATTTGTGTTGGTAACACAGTATTCAATCAGAAAAAACAACACGGGTCATAAAAGTATGGGTGTTTATCAAAACCTATGTAATTTTAATATAATCAGCATTTTAGGCAACAACTTTGCCTGACAGCTCCTAGGCAATCCAGTGACAGAATGCAAATACAGAGGAAGGCAAAAAGAAGAGCTCTTAAAATGTTTGAAACAGATGAGCCCAGAGCAGTACATGGCAGTTGCATTAATATTTCCCACTGTAATTTTACTTGGCTGAGAGTAAAGTAATTTCTCAGGTTTGGATTATTCAGAATATGTGTCTAGAAACATGGGGCTTACTATTGGCATTACCAACAGTATGTCCTTGTGACAGGAGGAACTGCTGGTGTCCTAGCAGTAAATACCTTTTCTCTTGGGAAGAAAAACAGTGCTTGTGTGTGTGTGTGAGCAACCAGTTCTTGCACAACAAATCTGTTTTTTGTTCTTGGAAATGATTCTTCAGGTCAAATGATGTGGTTAACTGCAGTGCTTAGTGTCGCTATCATTAACAGACACAGCCACAAAAGATGTACTACAGTACTATGAGCACTATGTAAACGATTAATGTCACTATTGCAAAGCTCCCCAAAGTACATCTGATTTAAATATACATGTGATCTAGATAGATGGGATTCAACAGCCAGATAAGAATGCCATTAAATGGCAGTGAAACTAACAGGTATTTTCCTAGGACAGAGCACCATACAATATCATTAAGGCAGGACTTATAATTTACACTGTCCATTTGTAAGCCCATCTCTATTGATCTAGGACTACACTAAAAGTGCAATCAAGGATTACAAGTAGCAGTAAATTGAACAGTCTCTTAAAAATCAGGAAAAGAGAAGGAAATGTAGCCTTAAATACCAGTCCAAGCAACTAGGATCCTAACTGTAATCAAGCTGTTCTCAATGAATAGATAAGCATCATGGTAACTTAAAGGTCAACAGATTTCAGTTGTTTCAAACAAAACAAAACAAACAAAAAAGGAATTTGGTTTAAAAATAGCCAAACTGGAGAGGTCATTCTTGAAGACCTTCTCCGCTAAACTGCTGAGGCCCAGCGCAACCAGCTACACTACAAGCACAGAAATACAGTACAGGGACAGCCCTGTAAAATGTCAGGCTTTATAAATCATCCCAGCAGTGTATTGCCTAACCAGGGACCATGTCAGAGCTAATCTTGAAAGCTGAAGTCAGCAGCAGCTGCAAAGGGCACTGGGCTGGGGAGACCAGATGGTAGGTAACGGGTTGCAAAGGTAACAGAGAGGACAGCTGCATCCTTCCAGTTCTGCTTGCCTTTGAGGTGCCCAGACAGGACAGGGTGTAGTTGCTTCTGTTGTGCCCTACTCTGCACCTCAGGACAACAAAGGGACAGATCAGGGCAGTGCCATTTGCACGTGAAACAGGCTCAGTCTGACATTCACCTGCCAGAGAAAGAATCCAAGCTGGTCACCCTATGATTCTTTAACAGAACCAGAGTATCCAGAAGTGCATGCAATGAATTGAAAAAAAAGTCAAAATTGTCACTTTGCCTTTGGGTTGATCCTTGTAATGTGCTAGTAATGCTGGCACATTATCTAGTCTTCAGCCAATTAGCCTTCCTTCATCAGTCATCTCCTCCCAAAACCTCAGGAAGGCAAGTTGCAGTACTGCTGTGGCCACAAAAAAACTGGACAAAAAACTACTTCTTCACTATCTTTTTACTTAATACATGTTGGAAGAGGTAAGTGGGAGCAGAGGATCAAGAAAGAAAAAAGAAAATAGTATTTTAGTAATTCAGAGAAGAAAACTCAAGGCAGAGCCATTGCTCTGGGAACTTTCAGAACTAAACCAAAGCCACTTTTCACAAATCGTAGCAATCAGAGACAAATTGTTACAAAAGTCCTTCAAATCACAGCCACCTGAATTTCAACTAGAGATCTTACTTCTGGTTTGGTTTTTGGGTTGTTTAGTTTGGTTTTTTTTCTGTTTGTTGGGATTTTTTTTGTTTTATTTTTCCTTGGATTCCCCCTCCCCACCCAGCTTGAAAGGTAACAGTTTCCCACTTAATCTTCCCTTGCTGAGGAAAGGCAAATGGGCCACTCCAAAGTCTGCACTTGTCCAAGTTCTCCATCTGCAGTTGCACTGTTAGGTCATAAAACAACCAAAAAGCTTCAGCAGAGCATTCTTCAAGCCAGATCACACCTTCTGCTTCTCAACTGCCCTCTCCTGACTCATGATATGACACAATGCATCTAACAAGGTTCTCTAACAGTTAAAAAAAATAATAAATCTGTCCCCCTATATGCAAATAATTCAAAACTACAGATGAAGAGCAGGTATCAATCAGCCAAGGCTTTATAAAAGCAGAGTATGGGCAGCTTGTATGAGGAGTTTGTGCTGGCTTCTTTTTTGATTGGCACAATAGTTGAATATTTTCTTGTGAAGAGCCATCTTCACAGAAGGATTTCTTGAGACAAGACTTACAATGGTCATGGAAGGAGCTCTACTTTGCTAGACCCTCCCTAGCAGGGACAAAGAAGATTGACAAACTTGGCAGTTTGACAATCACAGCACAAAAACAAGAGCAGGATTAACCTGGCAGAAATATCTCTTGTAATATAAAGTGAAATTTGAAGACAACTGTCAGAGCAGGCAAAAATATCCACCTTTCAGAAAAACTAGTCCTTTCTCAGGCTTTCAAACTTGAGCATTTGTTTGAATAAAGGTGGATGGAGAAAACACCAGATTTTATTTTTCTTTCTCAAGATTATGACTTCTGTCATATTACAGTGTCACATTTAGTGAGCAACCACCCAGGATAATCCTTTCACTTCTAATTCAGACTGCATTGCCACATTTCTAGACTGATGTAAAAATGAAGAATATCTGACCTAAATGTTAGTCTTATTTGCACCAAAAAGTATCTGTCTGGGGGGTCCATTATAAACACAGAGTAAGATTTCTAGCAGGCTTATGGGTAATTCTGATATCCAGCAAAACACCCTCTTGTTGTTCCTAATGGCTCAAAATCAACTGATTTCTGCCCGTGATTCAGGCCAGAAGGAAAATGAAGTGGTACCTAGGAAATGCCATTTTGTACTTTACTCTGCAAATTTTTTATAGATTGAATGTACTTGTGATCAAGCAAACAGAAAAAAACCCCCAAAGTTTTAGATTGAATTCTATTTATATTTCATTTTGCAGTCATTTCATGAACCCAAAATTAAGCGAAATTTACTTCCTTTAAGAGAAGTTACTCTCAATTTAAATTACTACCTTAAGTCTGTGATTGTGTATTCTGGTGAATAAGTTGAAGCTATAAAATTTTGTCAGGCTGTAAAGGTATAAAACCACAAGAAATGTCACAGCTTTCTTTGCTGTGCCTATAGACAAAAACCAAAACAAAACCCAGTGATTTTGATCTGCCAATAACAAAAAAATAGGTTGAATTTAGAAGCTGACTCCTTGTGTTTTCTTCAAACACAAACCAGGCATGACTGGACAGTTTTCCCAAAGAATGACCTGCCTGCTTGTCTTCAATAATGACTGATGTTTTTAAGGAACTCAGTTACAACTGCTTGTATATATGTTACAAAAAGCAGTTTATTTTTAAGTGTTATTTTCTTCCAACATCAGGCAGAAGGTGATGAAAATATTTAAGAATGAGAAAGAATGAGGGAGAGAAAGTAATACTCTGGATTTACTTTTTTCCACATCTATAGCTCAATACTGAAAACCAAATCCAGACATTTATCTGTTATGGCTGTGTTCCATTTTTCACTCCAAATTTATTTTATATAACAAAAAACATACTGATATGTACTTACAGAAACCCACACAGATAGGTTATGTCCTGTGTAATTTAATTTAAAATATACTAGCTGTAGCTGGGAAACAGCAAATGAAATTCAATTAATTTTTCCACAAGAATTACATTATTCTAATGACTTTTCTCTCTTGATCACTACTAACCATCCACAACTCTCCTTAAAGATGGATTCTTTGTTAACATTATAAAAACCTAACTACTTCAAAATTTGTCACATATTAAACTACACACTTCAGCAGCTGATATGAACATTGGATCTTATATTAATTTTAAGGAATGTTTTATGATTTAAAAAATATGCA